GGGTATTCTAAAGGCCTTTTGGGACTATCCTAAGTCTAAGTGAATATGTGAAATTTTGTGGGGATTTGTTGAATAAAGAACCACTCACTCATGGCCTAATATGATTAAGTAAAAAGAAAATTGGTTATGACTTGTGTATTAGCATAAATGTAAAGAAATGAAAGTAAACAATAAAGTGTATGTCTTGTAACTACATGGCATTGTAGAATTTTATTGAGTTTTGTTTTGGATTCTTTTGCTAGGTGTGCCTAGGGCTGAGCGTATTTGGATTCCTTTGGAGCTAAATAGATAACTTGTGTTACAAGTGAGCAAATTAGTAAAGCTTCAAAAGGTAAGCTCTATGTTTAAGGAGTCTTTTCTTACTTGAGTGCTCTACCATGGTTAGTGAACTATAGTTGGATTGTATGATTGTATTTGATGTTTTGTATAGATGCATTCATATAGAGCTATTTGATAACATGATATGATTTGTTTTGATGTGATTTCTGTATTGATCTTTGGCCATTGATTTGATGGTGCACTGATGTTTGCTTGGGGTCATCCCTTGGGACTGACTGTGTACATCTCTGATATGTTTTGGTTCCGCTTGGGGTCCTCCCCTGGGAACACGTGCGTTGATTTCCGCTTGGGGTCCTCCCTTGTGAATGACTACGTACGCCTCTGTAAGATATGTATATATGCTTTGTTCTGTTATGATATCTGTTATCTGATGTTTTGTATACTCTGTATCTGACTCTCATGCAGGAGTGGCCCCAAGGGTATGGAGAATTCTCTATAAACCTGAAGCTTATTGAGATTTGTTATCTCACCCTTTTTTGGAGACATCATTTCAGGTTCTCAGATTCCCGTTGAGCCCTCACGAGGCAGGGACACGACCCGTGGGAAGAGGTGCTACGACGGACCGGATTTTTGAGTAGCTGTAGGCTATTGCCATTTTAGAGTATATTTATGTTGCTTCGTATTCCATTATTTTGTGGATCATGATGTCTGATCCTTTATTTTGTATATGACATGTATATGATTTGTACATGTTTTCTGCTTTGATGTATGTACAATTATGTATTCAGGCATGTTTATATTACGAGGTAGTATTCAATTATGGCACGGAGCCAAGTTATGCATGCGCTCATGGATGGGTATATAGTCCTATGTGGATATCTGGTATTTCTAAAATCATATATGGTATAAACTGTTTATCAGGAACCCTTGAGAGTGGGATTTTCAAATCTCCAGTTGTCCAGTTTACAGAGGTTACTCTGCCCGATTTTCGTCTTCGTCAAATAATAATTAAATTAGGAAAAATATGCAATGTGAGATATCATGAGAAAAAGGATTAAAGAAAAAGAAAAAATTAGCTCGAATTTTCGTAAGTTAAGTCTTCCGTTGTTTCTGTTTGTATCATATGTATGTTAATTGAACCGGCTCGAGACGGGGATGTTACATAAAACCATTAATGTAGCCTCATCCAATAGTTTAAGCTTTTGGGTTAAATTGGTTTTTACATGGTATCAGAGCCTCATATCCCGGGTTCGATTCTCACCACCCCCACTTTCTTTCTAGTGAAATTTCTTTCTTCGCACAGGTAGGTGGGCTTGTGCATTGTCCACTCTTCAAGCCCCAGTGGGCTCTTGTGTGAGGGAGCGTATTGAGATATATAAAATCATTAATGTAGCCTCACCCAATAACTTAAACTTTTGAGTTGAATTGGTTCTTTACAATAAGCATACAAAGTAAAGCTTTCCAATGACTAATTACATAGAATTACGATAACCTAATAAATATTCATGCATCGTGGGCATTATTCGACAATATGACATTAAAATCTTTTAGGGAGCGTTTGGTAGAGGAGAAAAAAAAAATTTACCAGGGAAATCCTTTTACTAGTAATATAGTAGGAAAATGAGTTTGGTAGGAAAGTTTAAAAAAAGTTATTTGGTAGACTGAAATATTACTGGAAAAATTGATGTAAGTTTCCAAAGTCTACATTTGGTTGAAGATAATATATTGATGGGATAATCGGTATGAATTACCAAAATGGGCAATTTTAATTTTGAAGCTGAAATTAAAGTTAGCAATCTATTACCTGAGAGAAATTTTCTCAGGAAACACTAACCATCATTCAGCTCGAGTGATGTTTGAAACATGTTGCAACCCACTGAAAGGCACCCAATCAATTCATTGTAAATGTCATGTCGATGTATATAGACAAGTTTAATCCAACTTCAACAATTTAAACTCATGAAGTTGATATAAAAATCTTGAAGGAGATAAAATGCATAAGAACATGATATTACAAAACTTTTTAAGCTGAAATCAGTAGCCAGACCAGAATGTCAGATGATACAACAATTGTAAGGGTAGACGAGGGGCATTTTCGACATAAATCTTCTGCTCATTTCCTCCTTTGCCCGGGCAACACCAAATACCACATAGCTTGTGATTTTTTGAAACAATGAAATGGAGCAAAATTTACATACAAATGGAAATGTCTGGGGAAGCCATTTGCATAGTTCATTTTTAAAGACCCCTCTACCAAACGTGGTACTTGACCAAACCCGATCTGATTTGCCTGGTGCACTTGTGCAACCAAAAGCCGAAGGATACATGTACTTAAGCTATTCAGTACTGTATCTAAAATTTCAGAAAAAGCGCACCGCTAGGGATAGCCTAGTGGTGTTGGGTGTGTTTAGGGTGTATTAGGTGTGCGGTTCGATTCCTGTAATGTCCAAAAAAAAAAAAAATTCAGAAAAAGCTAAAGTACCACACAAAAAATTCAGAAAAAACAACAGAAAAGGGCCCAAACAAATTTGTATGATGCGCTTGGCTGTTCTATGGCAACATCCTTTATCTATGTACTATATACAGTGGTAACGAAGTGAGGCCCACTGTGTAACAACAACAAAAATGGTGAGGCTAACTTCAAGATCCGCGTCGTAAAATGTGATATAGAGATATAATATAAAATTATTTATTTATAAATTTAAACTTTTGGATTAAAATAATTTTTCTTTATGATATCAAGAGTTGTGGATTAAAAAAGATGTGTTAGAGATATAATATAAAATGAGTCTTCACTTGCAAGCTTAAACTTTGGGATTGAAATAATTTTTTATGCAATGGAAATAGCAATTGAGATTTAAAATTCACGAAAAAATAAAAATTTAAGTAATTAATAATGTAAGAGTTTTTGAAAAAATAAATAAAGAGAAATAGAATTGTCATGTTACATGACACAACTTCTTTTTTCTACATACTCAAAAAAGTGTGAGAGATCCATTCCATTTTTTTTTTCTTTTTCTATGAAATGAAACTCACAATATTTATGTGTCTATGACATGACACAAGAAGTGTCATGCAATATTATATTCATAAAGTTCATAAATAAATAACGATGAAACTATGCGTTTAATAGAAGAAAAAATTAAAAAAAATTATCTGACTCTTTGTATAAAAGATTCTTATGATTAAATTCTGTTAAACAAGTATTTTTAAAACACATGTTTACAATTTTGTTTAAATATTTTATAAGCGTGAAATGGTAAGAGTGAAATGGAATTATATTTAATAAAAGGGTTTAATGTCTCCCATGAAAATAAAATTATCTTCTATACATACACATATAAAAATGTGTGAAACTCATATTTACTCTTTCTCTCTCTTCTCTTCATATTTATATGTGTATAAAGATAAAATTTATCTCCTATAATATGAGAAATATTAAAATTAAGTAGAATGGAAGGAAACCAAAATAGAAAAATTTGTGGAAAATATTTTGGAGATTTGGACCCTTCCAACCTCACATTAAAATTATTCCATATATTTGGATTTGAGTGATTTTTTCCTTAACATTCTCCCTTCGTAATTACCTCGATCCAAACATATATAATAAAATCTACCTTCCATTTATCTCATTGTGAACACTTTTTACATGTTTGACCAACACTTTTTGACCAATTTACCAATTTACTTAAGTAAATGTCGAACATTAATTCAATAGGGACATATTAGTATATAATTCTGAAGGAAAAAAAATTAAAAAAAAAAAATTCAATTACAAGAACAAAATGGTCAATCAACCCTTCTTTGCCCTCAAAGAAAAATAAACAATCTGTCTTCAGAATGTTGTGCTACATCTCATAATCTCACAGGTGTCTCACATTTATTTAAAAAGTGCTTTTTAAACATCTACGTTTACAAAGAATTTTGAGTCGCACATTCAGTCAACTTATGTATTCTCATTTGTACATGTAAAAGGAGCGATTTGTCTATAAAAATATGTTTTTGTGGGAGATTTCACAAAATAGTGTAAATTCATTCATGATTTTTTAGCTCGAACTCTTTTACAATATCTTAAATTTGTATCGCTGTTCTTCAATGGCAAATTAAGAGAGTAAACATTTCGTCATGTGTCAAAAGGGAAAAAGTAACCAGCCTCTATATTCCAATATTAGAACCAAAAAATGAAACCCGATTCGTGATTCAAGTTGCCTACAATTATTTACTTGAGAACTTTACATTCAATATGAATTTATTAATTGTATAACGTTGAATTCACAATAACACAACATATAACACTCTAAGTATGATATGTATGTCCTTCAAATGCTTAATTAAAAAAAAAATTATTGATATTGTGAAAGCAAACAAAATATATAATACTTTTTTTTTATATAAATATATAATACTTTATTAAGTAATTAGAGAGGTTTGCCGTGCGAGTTATGACCAGGGTTGAATTGCTTTCTGTTGTCTCGACCATGAATCATGAAAGCATATTTGGAGAAAAACAAGTTTCCTTAACAAAATAAGATAAACATGACAGTTGGCCACCCTTTTTCAATATGCATGATACAAAATGGAAGTCAAAGCACAATAGAACATAATGATTATATCATGTGTGTATTTCATTAACACCAAAATTAAATATCCTTCGAAAAGCCAACAACAACACTCTTTTCTCCAAATGGAACATGCATGCTGACCCCTACGAGATAAGAGAATCAATCTTTTTTGAATTTGAAGGTGCTGCTAGCACCAATAGGAAAAGTTCCATCGCAGTTATATCCGGATCCTCTAAGATTAATGTAACCTGGATAATCCCATATTACAAACGGCACCTCCTCGTCCAAGAACAAATCAACTTTCTTTGCCAGCTTCACTATTTCCCACTTACTGAAAGGGTAGGCTGTCTTGTGTGTCACGTGAATTTCTCCGAATTTACTTAACATCTTCTTTGCACTATTCATAAACCCCCGCACCAAACCCCGGTGACGACTAAAAAAAACATGTATATAATTCAGAAAAAACCCATCTGTTAACTTAAGAACCAGCCACATAATAATTAAACATAAAAAAATTTCAATTTTAAAATTTTAATTATTTTCTAGTGAACTCACTCAATTTGGCACGAACTATCTTCGAAATATTGAAAGCCAGCATGAGGAAAATTGAAGACTATGCGATCAAAAGACTTCATTTGGAGAAGTGGGTGTCCTCCCATGGTATGAGCGTCCACTTCATGCACAATAGTGCAACCAAGGTTCTCCAGTTCATTCAGGTTTGTTGAAGCTCGTGAGTAGTTCCTTTTTAATGACTCTAATTAACAAGAAGAAGAAAAAAAACGATTAGAATAAAAACACAAAAACGCAGCGGATTTTAGTTAAATTAATCAATTTAACTGACATACATACAAATGTAAGCATGCATGGATTTTTAGACCAAGAAACGTGGCGAGTAAGAATACATAAACATCAACAACACCCAAATCAGTTGAGATTAAGATATATAAACCAAATAAATAAATAAATGATAAATATGAAAATAAAAATAGATAATAAAAAAAAACAAAAAATTTGAATTTACACTCGTTACTATAGTAACTTTCACACTCCATGTCAAGGCATTTAATTAATATACTTCAGATATACTTGTAGTTGCTAAGAACCAAACCCGTGCCCCAAAAGTACATGCCTTTGGAATCAAGGGAGGTTGCTACCATGTTGGAAGCAGAGCCAAATGCCTTTGCCAAACAAAGTGAGAAGGAGAAATCTCCCTCTCCGACGAGCAGTGTCTTATGGTAGCTACTGTAGTGCTTTATCTTTTTCTCCATTTTGACATCCATTTTCCCACTCAATTGCAATTCAAAAGTACTATATCGTTGCAAAAGGCATCTTAAGCAGTAAATATATACTGATCATGTTGGCTTGTGGAAGATTCACTTTTATTTATTTATTTGAAAGGACGTTTGGCTTCAAGGCTATTTATGTTTATTCATTAGGTTACTCACCCATTTCTTGATAAATGTAATTGGAAGATAAAAAGCTTCGTATGTAGAGGCATGAGGTTATTTCCAATATGCGCAATCAAAGTAGAGCTTTCCAGTGGGTAATTAGTAATTAGATTGAATTACCATAACCTAACACATTCATGCATCGTGGATTCGTGGGCATTAGTACTGGGCAATGACATTAAAATCTTTTATGCATGGGTTGTGCTGTCAAAAGCCCAAGGATACATATACAAAAGCCATTCAAAAATTTCGTCAGGCCTTCTGAAAAAAAATATTATGAATGGCCCCACAAAATAGGTTCTTGAATAACACGAGGCGCTTGGGTGTTCTATAGCAGCATCCTTTATCCATTTATTATAGGGATTTATTTATGAGATAATTATCTCATGCAACAGAAACAATATAATGGAGTTCACCACTTTTTCAAAAAAAATAAAATAATAAATCTCATTATTTTATCTCTGTTGCATGAGATAGTTATTTCATGCAACATAAGATAATTATTTTCTTTTATTATAATATGGGAAATACATCGGTCCTGACAAACAAAACAATTCCTGTTCACTCATGGAAAATTGTGCTAGCATTTCTTTTAATTTTTATTTTTCTTTTATAATGGAGCCCACCAAAATTTATTAGTGCAGAAAAAAAAATTATTGTCATGTTAGATAATACATATATTTCTCTTATAATATACTGTGAAAATGAAGAGGCCCACAAACTGGGGCTAACTAACTTCGAGGATCTGTTAGCGCTTCGGCAAAGCACGTGTTAATGGATGTAGCAATAAAAATATGGGTTTTATTAGCCTTCTTTCACATAAGATAGTTATTTTATGTTGTAGAGAGTAAATGAGTGTGTTCCACAATTATAAAAAAAAAGTAAGGTGCAAAAAATCGAAGTGAAAAAGCATGAAAGAAGTTATCTCAAGTAAAAGAAGAGTAACATTTTCCTAAAAATATTTTATTAAAAATAAAAGGAAAAAAACATTTAAGAGTTTTTAAAAAACATAAAAAAAAGGTATTATATAAAGGTGAAAGTGAAACTATATGTGTTTTAAAGAAGAAACAATTACAATAAAATATTATCTGACTCTTTATAGTAAGAATTCTATTTTATTATGTAAGAGTTGATTAAATTCTCTTAAACAACTATTTTTAAAACACATTAAGATATTAAAAATAATAATTATTAAAATTTTGTGTTAATATTTTATAAGAATGAAATGGAATGATTTCAAAAAAAAAAAAGTTTAAAAATGTGTGTGATTATATTTACAAATTTTTAGTTTATAAATTCTTACAAACTACAATATGAGCTTGTTTGGTGTAATGTATAAGACTTGATAATATAAGCTTATACTATACATTATGATATTTTCAGTTGTTTGGTATGACCATCGTATAATATAAGCTTATACAGCAGAATCCCTTAATAACATCAAAATGATGTATAACTTAATCAGGCCTAAGGAGGTGAGATTAGGCCTGATAAGGGGTTAATGTATTAATATTGCTTACAAGTACAATTCTCAAGAACTAATATATCATTTTAATATTAATATATTAAAATAATATTTTTAATATATTAATTTTTAAAATATTGGAGGATATTATCTTATACAATATCATACCAAACGCTGGATAATATTAAAATTTAATCAGGTCTTATACTATCAGGCCTTATCCAATATTATGCACCAAACATGCCCTATATATTCCCGAAAAAAATTACACTCATGTTGTAGAAAAGTGGTTTTTCTTCCTGCATGCTATCCGAAAATTGTGTTGTATTTTATTATTTTTTTCCTTTATTTTTTAAGTGGTTAACCCCCCTCCCCCCCAACTATGTATCTATGATAAGAGATAACTCCTCTCCTATAACATGAGAATAAACAAGCCCATATATATATATATATATATATATTATAAATTATATATATAGGGTGATATTTTGACTCCAGAGTAAGACATACAAGTTTTATTTTCAATTTGATTTCCGCTTATCTAACGGTTATAGTTTAGGAAGTCGTACTAATTAATTAAGGGAAAAATATTTCTGCAGTTAATGCAGATAAGTTATCTGCCTTTATTCCCAAAACGACGTCGTTTTGGTATTAAAATCTCCAAAAATTATAAATATGAAGACTATTATAACCCTGAAATAAATTAAAATTACAAAAACACCATGATTTCCGCCCCAAAACGGCGTCGTATTGACTTACTGCAGATAACTTATCTGCAGTAACTGCAGAAAAAATGAACCCATTAATTAATTATTAATTGTGTTCATTTTTTCTAAAGTTACTTTAGATAACTTTGTCTAATGTTCACCAAAATGACATCGTTTTAGGGCAAAAATTATGGTGCATTTGTAATTTTAATTTATTTTAGGGTTATAATAATCTCTATCAATCTATTTTTTTAATTTTTCAACCCTAAAATGACGTCATTTCGGAGAACATTAGACAAAATTGTCTAAAACAATATTAGATATTTTTCCCCTTATTAATTACATTACAAATGGCAACCATTGAGATGGAAAGTAAGATTTTAAAGTCTTATTCTGGAGTCAAAAGTAACTTTCGAAAAAACGAATCCTATATATAAATAAGTTATCTACATTGAACTCAAAACCAATGTTATTAAAATTGGCTCGGTAATTACATGCAATTTTATAATTTATATTAAAAAATATAAACATACTCAAATATTTAAAAAAATAATAAAAATTTCAAATATTTTAATATAAAAAATAATAAATCACATATTATTATCCAATAAAGAATCAAACAAAAATAAAATAATCGTGATACAGAATTTTAGGTTCAGAAAATGACATCTCTAACTATAAATCAAATCAATATTTTCTGCATAGTGCATAATTGAGATAATATTAGTGTTGTAGGTGCATAACTTATGTAAATCAATAAGCAAAAAAATATTCAAATATGTCCATTATGATTTTTGGATTTTTTTTTTGGGACCAGGTCGGGTCACACCGGTTCTGATGCATGACCGGTCCGTTGCTTCAACCCAACCGGTTATATGAGCAATTTACCGGTTTCCGGGTCAACTCGGTCGGGTCAGTCCGATTTTATGAACACTGCACAAAACGATGTCATTTTAGTGCGAAAATCAAGATTTTTTTTAATTATAATTTATTCTAAGATTATAATAGTCTTTATTATTATAATTTTTTAATCTTTCAACCTTAAACAACGTCGTTTTGAGTATGAATGCAGATAACTTAACTGTATTCACCGTAAACATTAAAGTATTATCATTTATAGAAACATTAAGAACTCCATTAAGATAATTTTACCTCCGGTTGATAAACCCATAATAGAATAAATTAGAATGAAAAAACTATTGGACATATTGGATCTGAGTCATTTTCTTATTTAACTTTCTCCCTTCCTAAATACCTATTAGTGTTATAATAATACCTCATTCTTTGTAGCTGTAACTTAGCTTTCATGTATCAGCTGTAGCTGATTATACTTCCTATATTAGCTGTGTATTAGCTGTCATAGTTGTTGGGCTTGTTACTGTTTGTTAGATCTGTTTACACAGTTAGTTAGATGTGCTGACTCACCTTTGGGTTAGCATTGGGCTCTATATATATAGAGTCCTAGTTATATCTTGTACGATTGATTCATTTTACTGATTAAATACAAAATGTACTTCCAGCTCATTCTCTCTCATTTCTCTCTCTTATTGTTCTTCAGTTTCTTTCGTTCTCCTTCAATACAGAAACTCTAATATGGTATCAAGAGCCTTCAAACATGTCTTCCGCATCCAACTCTGACACAAGTGCAACTCCAAATGCAACTCCAGTAAACAGATCTGGAGAATCCGCCTCTAGATCTACGATGGAACTCAAAAATCCGTCTACACTTTTTAACTTTCAAGTCTCTGCAAGATTATCCGAAGATAACTACCTTTTTTGGAATCAGATCATAGATCCAATCATCACCTCTCACCAACTGCAACGATTTCTGGTGAAACCAAAGATACCTTTGAAGTTCAACTCAGATGAAGATCGAGAGAATAACAATCTCAGTTCAGCCTATACTGACTGGTTGATGCAAGATCAAATGCTCTTGACCTGGTTGCTATCTACCATCTCTGAACCAGTGGTAAATGATATTCTTCCAGTTAAACACTCCTTTGAGGCATGGAACAACATACACAAGCTATTCCATGGTGTAATGAAGTCACGAGCCTGACAACTCAGATCTGAGCTAAAGACGATGAAGAAAGGTGCAAAAACAGCGAAGGAATATATTGCAAGAATCAAAACAATCTGTGATTCACTCAAATCAATTGGAAGTCCAGTTTCTGTTGAACAGCATACTGAAACCATACTCGAAGGATTGTCCCCAGACTACAACTCCTTCGTGATGATGATACATGGTCGAGAAAATGCTTACTCCGTTGCACATCTAGGAGTAGAGCTAATGGCTTATGAAAAACTTCTTATCAAGCAGAATGAACAGCTACTCGCAGAAGGAGCCTCAATAAACTTAACCCAGTGTGTTCAAACACCTCAGAAGACTGGATCTGATGAAGAAGATGACACTGTTCACAAGTTCAGAAAACAGAGCAGAACAGAGGAACAACATTTCAAACAGTTTAACACCTCAAATGGCCAAAACAGGGGAAGAGGAAGATCTAACATAAGGTTTAACAGAGGTAGAGGTAGAGGTAGAGGAAATAGATCTAATGTATATTGCCAACTTTGCTACAAGTATGGGCACGATGTGAAGGACTGTTGGCATAGGTTTGAAGAAAACTTTACTCCAAATCTACCTCCACCACAAAATACTTCCTATCCTCAATTCTTTCTTCAGCAACAGTCTCATCCTGTCAGATCCTTTCAGTACAACAGACCTCAGAACCAAGGACAAGCCTATATGACAATGCAACCTTCTCTGCCATCTGCATCAAATGCTGCTTCACTTCTTGAGTGGGTTCTTGATTCTGGTGCATCAAGTCATGTTACTGCATCACCTCAGAATATTGTACAAGGTCAACGCCTCAGTGGTTTAGATCAGATATTGATTGGGAATGGTCAAGGTTTGCCTGTAACAACCATTGGATCTTCATCTTTCATATCTCCTCTTCATTCAAACACACACCTACACCTTAGAAATTTACTTTTGGTTCCTTCGATTACCAAAAATCTTATCAGTGTTAGCAAATTTGCCAAGGATAACTCTGTCTTCTTTGAATTCCATTCTGATGTCTGTTTTGTAAAATGCCAGGATTCACATAAGATCTTGCTTCAAGGTGCTGTTGGCACTGATGGTCTATATCACTTCCCAGATCTGAAGCTCTACAAAAATCCAACCTCTCAGACAAATACTAGCTATTCCAGTACATATCTTTCAAGCAACTCTGTCAATCTTGTTGAAAATTCCAATACTGCCTTAGATACTAGGAATAAAATGTGTATTCCTTCTAATTCCTTGTACTCTCTGTGGCACTGTCGTTTGGGGCACCCACACCTAGATGCTCTTAAAAGTGTTCTGAAATCTTGTAATATACATGTTAGTAATAAAATGACAGAGTTTTGTTCTTCTTGTTCTTGTGCAAAATCACATAGACAACACTCTTCAGCCTCTACTACATAATATAATGAACCTTTCAGCCTTGTGTACAGTGACTTATGGGGACCCTCACCACTAAAATCAACTCTTGGTAACACATACTACATTTCATTTGTTGATGCTCACACTAGATATACATGGCTTTATCCTATCAAACAGAAATCTGATGCCATTGGTATTTTCAAACAGTTTCATGCAATGATAACTAATCAATTTCAACTACCCCTGAAAGCACTTCAAACTGACTGGGGTGGTGAGTTTCGTGTCTTTTCCTCATATCTCAACTCACATGGCATAGCTCATAGAGTCACCTGTCCCTACACATCTCACCAAAATGGAGTGGTTGAAAGGAAACACCGTCATGTAGTGGAAACTGGCTTAGCTCTCCTATCACAGTCATCACTCCCAATGCAATATTGGGATTATGCCTTTACCACTGCCAGTTACCTCATTAATAGACTCCCATCAACTGCTATACACTTTGAGAATCCTTACTCTAAGCTCTTCAAGCAGCCTCGTGACTATAACTTCCTAAGGACCTTTGGTTGTGCATGTTTTCCTTTCCTCAGACCGTATAACAAACATAAGTTAAAGTTTAGATCAAGAGAATGTATTTTTCTGGGCTATTCACCAAATCATAGGGGATAAACTTGCTTGAGTCCTGACAATAAAATCTTCATTTCAAAAGATGTGTCATTCAATGAATATAGATTCCCTTACAAAGAGTGGTTCCCCAATAAGTCTTCTTACACCCCACAGGTATCTCCTTCTTCATTTGTTCCCTTACCTACCTTTTCTCCCATAATTTCCGGGACTGATGTCTTACCTACTGAAATCACCTACCCCTCGAACTCTACAAGTGCATCCCATACTACTATTACACCTCACATGTCACCTACTGTCTCTCACACTGATTTGTCCATCTCTCACAGCAATTACTTGTCACCTACACCAATATCTACTTCACCCTCTAGTCACAGTACCAGTCCTGAATCTTCCCACTCAGATTATGCTCCTTCCAATTCCTTAAGCTCATCCTCCCCTGCCCACTCCATTACCACAAGATCCAAATCCGTGGCTAGGAACCTTGTTCTATTAACACATTCTGAACCTGCATCAGTTAAACAGGCACTTAAAAGTCCTCACTGGTTCAAGGCAATGGAGTTGGAGTATGAAGCTTTACAGAGGAACAACACTTGGTCACTTGTCCCTTTACCTCATGGTAGACGCACTATAGGGTGCAAATGGGTGTTCAAAGTTAAGGAGAATATTGATGGTAGTGTCAACAAATACAAAGCTCGGTTAGTGGCTAAAGGCTTTCACCAAAGACCTGGTTTTGACTATAATGAAACCTTCTCTCCAGTTGTTAAACCTGCCACAATCCGAGCTGTACTTGCCATTGCTCTCACATATGGCTGGTCCTTAAGGCAACTTGATGTTGATAATGCCTTTTTAAATGGGGACCTAGAGGAAGAGGTCTTTATGGAACAACCCTCTGGTTTTGTATCTCAAGACAAATCCTTAGTTTGCAAACTCCACAAGTCACTCTATGGTCTCAAACAAGCACCAAGAACTTGGTTTGACAAACTAAAGAGCTCTGTTCTGTCCTTTGGGTTTCATGCAAGCAGATCTGACCCCTCTTTGTTCATTTACAAAGCTGGAAACTTGAGAGTCTACATGCTTGTATATGTAGATGATATCATTGTGACAGGAAATAGTGTTCAGTTTATTCAGCAATTTATCTCTCACCTTAACACTTCCTTTGCTTTGAAGGATCTTGGCAGTCTTGATTACTTCCTTGGAATTCAGATTAAACGCCTCTCTAAAGGTTCCTTGTCTCTCTCTCAATCAAAGTATATCAAGGATCTTCTTACTAGAGTGAACATGCTTGAAGCCAAGCCTATCTCCACTCCTATGTCTTCTAGTTGCAAGTTATCAAAGTTTGGCTCTCATGCTTTCGAAGACCCTCATCTGTATCGTCAGTTGTAGGTGCACTGCAGTATGCAACTATCACTAGGCCAAAAATTTCCTTTTCTGTGAATAAGATCTGCCAATTCATGAGTCAGCCTTTGGTGGACCATTGGAAAGCAGTAAAACGGATTTTACGATACCTTCAAGGCACTATTTCCTTTGGACTTCATTTTCAACCTGTAAAATCAACCACAGGCTCCTTTCCTCTTACTGCCTTTTGTGATGCCGATTGGGGAAGTGATCCTGATGATAGAAGATCAACCTCCGGTGCATGCATTTTTCTTGGCCCGAATTTAATCTCTTGGTGGTCCAAAAAACAACCTCTTGTAGCCAGATCTACGGCTGAAGCTAAATATCGGAGTATGGCTTTGGTTTGTACAGAAATTTTATGGATTAAATCCTTATTTCAGGAGCTGGAACTCTCTCTGTCAGCTCCTCAAATTTTGTGTGACAATCTTAGTGCTGTAGCTATTGCTCACAATCCCATCTTGCATGCTCGCACAAAGCATCTTGAGTTGGACTTGCACTTTCTTCGTGAAAAGGTGGTTGCCAAGGACATTCTGGTTTCTCACATCCCAGCTACAGCTCAGCTAGCTGATACATTTACAAAACCCCTACCTCTTGCCTCCTTTGCTGCGTTCCGTGACAAGCTCAGAGTTTTGGACACTCTCTTACCTTCTCAACACTGCTGAGCTTGAGGGGGAGTATTAGTGTTATAATAATATCTCACTCTTTGTAGCTGTAACTTAGCTTTCATGTATCAGCTGTAGCTGATTATACTTCCTATATTAGCTGTGTATTAGCTGTCATAGTTGTTGGGCTTGTTACTGTTTGTTAGATCTGGTTACACAGTTAGTTAGATGTGCTGACTCACCTTTGGGTTAGCATTGGGCTCTATATATATATAGAGTCCTAGTTATATCTTGTACGATTGATTCATTTCACTGATTAAATACAAAATGTACTTCCAGCTCATTCTCTCTCTTATTGTTCTTCAGTTTCTTTCGTTCTCCTTCAATACAGAAACTCTAATAATACCTCTATCCAAACATGATAAAATCTACCTTTCATTTATCTCATTGTGAACGCCATCCGCGGTTTCTAGGGAAGATTAGAGTCTTGTACCTTGGAAATTACTTTTGGAAGTGGGAAAGAGGGAAAGTTTTATTAGGGTCCTGGATCTAGAACTCAAATAGTTTACGGAAAGCAGTAAAAACAGCTAGAAGAGCTGAACTATTATTGACAACATATAATTGTACGACAATAGCATTCCTTCCGAACGATCTTAAGGATGACTCTCACATAACAGGTTTAATTAGAAAAATTAAGTGCTAACCCAGGATTCAAACTCAAGCAAGTAGCTACATTCAACAAAGAAGGAACTTAGAGAAAAACAAATAGTTGTGTTTTCCTTTTATTTTCTGTCTTGAAACTTATTGTTGATGACAAAAAAATACAGATATTGGACAATAAAATTCCCTACAGAAGAACGGCACCCAATGGTACATTCCATAAAGATCCCATGATGCATGTACAATACATAATGACCCCGGGAACTATATCACGCTCTCAATCTGCTACAAAAGGTACAGAGGCTTACATTTGCTACCAATCTTAGTTACAATATATGACTGACTCAATTTGCTCATAAACCTAATCATAGGGATTCTTAAAATTTTTCAAGAGGTTAGGAATGTCGTAACCTAGCATTTCATCAACTGCTTGTATCATTTTTGGTTTCAATTTCTCAAACTTGTCAATATTGTAACCATTCAAGATCTCTCTAAAATGTTCAACATTTGGAAAGTCACCTGCAGGTAAATGGAACTCCCTTTGTACCTGTTGTAAATTTTTCGGTCATTTAGTCTTATCATAGAGACAAGCAGGTGAGCAGAACGGATGTACAGTTGGATTCATACCTTTCCAAATTCACCTGCCAAATTATCAATGAGCTTTTGCTGTACTTTAGCTTTGCCCATCATAGCAGGCATCTCCTTTTTGAGATGACTAATAATATAAGCATGTATCTTGGCTGCTCGGGCTCGTTTTACAAATTCATTGATCTACAATGGTCAATATATACAAATGATATATTAATTATGCAAAGAAGCAACTCCAATAAATAAAATATAAATAGTAACTAACTGGATACTGAAATTTAAGAGATGAGAGAACCCTCTACAATAGCAGCTATAAAATGTTGGGAAATTCGTTCCCTCAAACTCCAATGTCAAGCGGGTCCAGGGGGAGCCCGTGACGGGGAGCCACCACCAATGAGCTAAGGCTACACCAACCGTAGCAAGTGGATTCGACACCATGTCTCAACCCAAAACCTTAAGGCATTGGGTTCATGGGTCCTTTCACTTATATACTCTTCACTTAGCTCATTACCAACCAATGTGGGACTCATCACACTTGAATATCTCATCCCCCTTAAGTGTGAAACCCACCATTGGTATGCTCCCCCTCAACCGAGTACCCGAAGCGCTAAGTACTCGACCCGCCTCCTAGCCAATCACTAGGCTAGCTCGAGCCTAATCCGGCTCTGATACCACTGTTGGAAAATTCGTTCCCTCAAACTCCAATATCAAGCGGGTCCAGGGGGAGCCCGTGGCGGGGAGCCACCACCAATGAGCTAAGGCTACACCAACCGTAGCAAGTGGATTCGACACCATGTCTCAACCCAAAACCTTAAGGCATTGGGTTCATGGGTCCTTTCACTTATATACTCTTCACTTAGCTCATTACCAACCAATGTGGGACTCATCACACTTGAATATCTCAACAATCTCCCCCTCAAGTGTGAAACCCACCATTGGTATGCTCCCCCTCAACCGAGTACCCGAAGCGCAAAGTACTCGACCCGCCTCCTAGCCAATCAATAGGCTAGCTCGAGCCCAATCCGGCTCTGATACCACTGTTGAGAAATTCGTTCCCTCAAACTCCAATGTCAAGCAGGTCCAGGGGAAGCCCGTGGCGGGGGGGCCACCACCAATGAGCTAAGGCTACACCAACCGTAGCAAGTGGATCCGACACCATGTCTCAACCCAAAACCTTAAGGCATTGGGTTCATGGGTCCTTTCACTTATATACTCTTCACTTAGCTCATTACCAACCAATGTGAGACTCATCACACTTGAATATCTCAACATAAAATGTATACCACAGAAAAAGGAGACTAGTATTTTTGTATGGACAAGATGCCCCAGAAGAGTTCACAATTTGTTTTCTTTTTTAAAAAAAATTCCACAAAAGGAAAAACAACCAAATCAAAAGGCTGGCTTCATTGGAATTGAATCATATCCACTGTGCCAGCCATCTTTAAATCTTCATAATTTATTTGCTAACATGAGCACGAAAGTAAAACTAATCTCATTTAGTGGAAAACTGTTATTATGATAAACAAAATAAAACAAATAAATAAACTCACTCTTCGATCACAAGCTGCCTTTGGTATATTTTTCAGATCTGAAAGAAGGTCATCCTGTTCTTTTTCAAAGAGTTCCTTACCGATTGGACCACTGACAGCATCATTTACAGGCTTGTCGTTGAACGAGCTGCAAAAGAAAGTTAATTGAGCACAAAAATCTTCCACCAATGTAAATAACATTGATGTAACTTCATGACACTCCAAAAAGAGAACTCAAAAAACTTATGATCTATAAACAAAGTGGTCTCTCTACAATTCTTCATGTCAAAGACCACACTTCCACATTGACAGTGGAATATATGTACATATATGAAGTGACCTACCCAATATACACCCGCATGACTTCAGGTGTATTCAGTACCTTCCCAAGTGACCACATTAAGGCTCCATAAACCCTCATCAGCTGCAAAATAGGGCCAAATATAGGTTAGGTTTGGCGTAACCATGTTGTGAAAGATTCATTAAATAAACAAATAGAAGTTAAACTACACAAGCCCTTACTTGCTGAGTATCAACTTGGTCTGCCTTGTTCAAAACCACACGAATTTTGTCGTCATGCCCCCGTAAGGATGATATCACACGCTTGAACTCATCACTGATATCAAGTTTGTGAGGATCAAATAAAAGGAGTATCAAATCACACTTAGCAGCAAACCAAGACGTTACACCCGTAAAATCATATGCTCGTTGTGTCCGTTGCTTTTCTCCAGATAGAACTCCAGGGCTGTCCACAAATGTAATGTGCTCCAGTAGCTTTGGACAATTGAAAAATAGTTAAGTCCAAATGCTACAAAAGGAAAATCTCAAAAAGTTTTTCAATGGCTCGGGAGCAACTTACAGGATGAGGCATTTGTGAACACTCAAATTTTGACAAAAATGCAGTGCCAAAAGTTGTAAGACCACTAAATGGCATGTCAGCTTGGACAGCAATGGTATTTCCAGGAATGCTTCTCTCATCTGGTCCAGACTGTGTAGTAGTACCAGATGCTAGTTAATGCAATAACTCACATTCCAAGATGACTAAAATATAGATTAATACATGTTTTAAGAAGACACTGATAATTCAAAATGTCAAAACTTGACACTAATGCTAGATACAAACTACAAATTGCATTACTTCCACAAATATATCTTGTCAGGAATTAAAAGTCAAATTGATTTATAAATTTAAAAATGAGAAAAGAGTCATGGAAGAGAAACTAGTTAGGCTGGAACATACCATGACAACAACAAACCTATCAGTTGTAGGCTCAGGTCCAATATGTGCTCCTATTGACAGTTATGCGAAAACAGGACAAACATCAGTAACATATATTTACAAAACAGACATGAGCAATGCCATGGATATAGAGAAAGGATAATCACTTGCCTGGATAACTACTTTTAAGCAGATGTTTGATAAATGTTGTTTTACCCGTTGAGTACTGACCCAAAAGCATGACCATTGGTTTGGCATCAAAATCGCTATTTGTCTACAGTATATAAAGAATTGCAATCAATAAAGAAGCTAATTGTGTTTCTTGTCCATATTTAAAACACAGTAACAACATGACTAATAAAGTAAGGTGACACTAAATCTAGAGTAGCCAGTTTCACTCACCAGTAATGGGGATACAAAGTCATTAAAACGGTAAGTAGCTTCTAACGGTTTCAACTTCTGAATGTAGAGCCTCTTCAATCCGTCAATTATTGATGTCACAGAGGAAAGGGAAACCTATAGATATATGCACCAAAAATTCAAGTGAAAAACCTATAGGAACATATTTGACAGTTTTTAAGAACTGTCAACAGCAAAGAAGTAGCAAAACACACAGATAAAAGATCCTGGAGAACATATCTAAAGGATGGCCTATAGGGTACCGTCTAATTGATTCACGTAATATCAGAGACTAAATTAGATAAATACAAAATAAAAAGCACATTTTGTTAGCCCAAAAAGAAGAAACTAGATAATAACAATTCAAAACTAACACAATAAGATTCACTTGTGGAGTGTCAGGCACAATATTAATATTGGCCTCATATTACTTCGGCACTCACAAATCAAAAGTTTAGTGCCAATTTCAGCAGGCCACTAATAACAGTTTAAACATATTTGTATCCATCATCTTAATAAAAGAAGCAAAGAGACAGAAACTTTCCAAAATCATGATGAAAACAGAATGTAAAAAGCAGGCTAAGAATGCAAGCCAAACCTGTCATTAGTTGAAAACTACAAACGAAAATTCAGTATGTTCTCTAGAGGCAGATAAAGATAATGCTCTAAGATACAATCAAAGTAACAGTAACAGAATGCTTGCCTTTTTCGTTGACTTTGATGAAAACCAATTACTTGACAGTGATGGCTGCAATTGAGAACTACCTGCATTGTTGCTAATTACTGAACTTGAATTTTCAAGAGAAACGAACAAATAAAGAAACCAAAATCAGTTTGAATGCCCATATTCAATAAAATGAGAAATATATTACCATTCGTATCAACGTCTTTTTGTTTATGCTTTTTCTTCTGGATAAACAAAACCAAGTGGTAAGCACTTTCACTAAATAAATATCAAAATGCTAACACCATTAAAAAAAATAAAAATAAAAACCATAAAAGGAAATACTTACAACTAGTAATACATCCAAACCATCCATTGTGGGAGGTTTTAGATTTTTCAAATCAACTGAAATAAAAGTTAAGATTTCATTAGGTAAATCTTTACGATAGACAATCAGCATCAACAAATGCAGACTGCAGCAAGAATGAGCATTGAAAAATATTTAACTAAAACAATTATAAAAAGTCATTCAAACAAAACAATAGAAGACAAACCTAAACATACATAACTTACCATCATTAATCAGCAGATCATGGGTTATTGGGTGCCCAGATTGTGCCAAAGAAACTACCTACATTTCAAAAGTGTAAGATTCAGGAAATTTATTAGCATTAAATTTCAATGAAGCATAACATTCTTTTACCTGCATAGCAATGATAAACTCGGTGAAACCAAGAAAACCTTGTCGCTTTGAATCTGCAATAGCCCACACCTTATTTTGGCAACAAGAGAAAACAAAAGAACAATTTAACTAACATGGATGGAAGAAATAAGACCAAAGATATACTTATCAGCAAATACAACTTATATCAACAACTTATCCATTAAATGCCCAAACCATTCTAATTGTTGGAGTACAAAACAGCATCAAAAACAATTGGATATCAAAAAAAAAATTGCAATAGTTCAAATCCTATCAATTATCAATCTAAAACTAAGCATTATCATAAAGCATTGAAGTGCCACATCATAGGAATAATTAAAATATTTCACTTGAAATGAAGTTTTAAAAAGTCATCTTAAATAGTTGGCACTGGTTCACTAACAGAGTAAAACTCTATACTGACAACAGATCAGATTTAAATCTGAATAGCAAAAAAAATCAAAATAAATGTATGTACTGGCTATTCTACAAGGAACTACCACAAATCAAAGATCAACCCCATTCAATACCAACAACTACGTTTGATTTAGCAAATTGAAAATGGAGAGGGATTTAAGATACGAAAGGACAGGGGAAGTTCAAAGTTCCACAATGTATGCTTGATAGCAAAGGTAGAAAAGAAATAAAAATTGAAAGTCAACAACATCTTGTTATTTATTGTTTGAAATGAAAATACAGATGAATACATTACAATTACTATAACTCCTCGAAGATAACAAATATAAAACCAAAACAACAGCAAACTTGTAAAACCATATTATCATCCCAGTTTAATCTTTTTTCATTGCATGTTCACACCAATATCACCTTACACCAATTTCATGCATGAGGAAAACAAAATAATATTAGGTAGGGCACGCTAATAATGGCCAATTTTTATTTTTCTCCTTATATCCTTGCTAAGCAATCATATTTTAGATTTTTCACTCCATTCCAACTACCTTCATGTTCACTCTTACCATTTGACATACCTTGCCAAAAGGAAAGTGGCATTTAACCAACGTACAGGTCATACACAATAATTATGTGGTATTTAACCTTCAGCAGCAAATACACAATTCCTATCTATATTCGCCCAGCTTTCCAATGGAAAATAATAATAACAACAATAATAATAAAGAAAAACAGAAAATAGAAAACCTGCTTAAGATCTTGGCGAGACAAATTGGACATGGCGAAAAACTTGGTGGCATCACTCCCCGTGATTCGGCCATCCCCATCTGAAAAACAAAGTGCACATTGACCCCATCGTTCCGAGAAACAAAATCAAATCTCAAGTTACGCGCTGCTGCTTCTCCAAATTTTCGAACAAGAACAGGACCAAAAATAATTAAAATTACCGGAGCAAAAATTTGCTGAAAGATGTGCGTACCTGAATCAGCGTAATTGAACCACTCCTGGTAGATCGCCTCGTGCTCTTTGGAGCACGAACCGAATGGGATCGGATCGAACTCCATTAATCGCAGAACACTCTGCGTTTAACGCTTCGAAATCGCGGGTTTGATGAGATCTCGTGCCGTTTGATACTTTCTGTGCTTTTTATCTTTTCAGTGAATAGAAGCTGAGAGAGTTATACGACGACAAGGACTTCCATTGGCGGTGTCGCATTCGCAATGAAACCAAAGTTGGCGCAAAAAATAAATTGCTGCTTTAACTAACCTTGTTTATACTTTCCTGATTATGAAGTATAAAGTTGAGAGTTTCACTTGAATGCGCCAAATAAAGGGTAAGATTTTACTCCTTGTTGCAGTTTGCACATACCTTTACTTGCTGATTCAAATTGTGATGACGACTTAAACTTAACCTTAATGGACATTCGTGCCACCACTTTATTCTTGACTTTAATTCCAATCAAGTTTGCTAATTTTTTATTAATTTGACCATTTGAGCTCAGATAATCAGTTTATACTTTGTTTTTTCGGATTGATGTTTACTTTTTATTTTACTTACATATACACAATCAAATGGCATAACATTACAGTTTATAAATAAATAGATGGTACTTAAGTAATTATGTTGATGTCCCTTTCGAGCGCATCACATTTAATTGGAAGGAGTAATACTGTTGTCACAAATAATTAATATCGATATAACACAAAAATGCAATAAGATAAGCGTGCAAACTATTATTAATGCATCCTATGTAGTTGAATAATACTTAAGAAATTATGAGTGAACTAATAATGATATATTTGTGTAATGTCTGGCAACTTGCAAACTTTTCAGCTTGATTTGTCCTCACTTGGATACTTCTCAGGAAATGTGCGAGTGAGGAAAAAATACACTGAAAAGTCTCGTGTTAGTATATGGGGATAGTCGTTGATTCTTGAAGCGGCCGGGCGTTACAAGTGGTATCAGAGCAGGGCCTCTCTTCCAGTACGGTATGGTTCGAGGACGAACCAGGCGGAAGCTAGTGGGCAGGTAACATCTCGGGCGCTGACGAGGGCGGGGAGTGATCGCCGGTGCGAAAGGGCATGGACAATGAGCGGCTCCTGGCAGGCTTCCAGCGACGGGGGTACATGAATGAATCGAATCAACACCCGAAAGAGAGGAATTCCAGAGACTGTGCTGGTATAGGACGGTACAGTTGGGAATAACTTATAAGAATTAATTGATACTACCTATACTAACAAGATGCATCTGCTTTTCGGTAGCTCGGAACGGAAGAACTTCATAGTTAAGTGTGCTTGACTTAGAGCAATTCTAGGATGGGTGACCTCTTGGGAAGTTTTCCCGGAAAATGTGCGAGTGAGGAAAAAGCACAAAAGCACACTGAAAAGTCTCGTGTTAGTATGTGGGGATAGTCGTTGATTCTTTAAGCGGCCAGGCGTTACAATTTGTGTGATTTGTGTAAAGTTAAAACTTAAAAGTTTAAATCTTATTACTACCATTATACAAAAAAAAAATTGTATAAGAAATAATTGCATTCATATGCATTTTGGCTACATTTGAATACTTCCTATATGGATAACATATTCCTATAATAGAGATATTAAAAAAATTTGCATTTAAATTATTTAATAAGATTACATAAATATTGCGGAAGCTAAATTAAAAATCAATTTGGAGAAATGTTACTATCGCACCTGTAACGGGGGACAAGTGCAAGGCAAACTAAAACATAATCTTATTCCAAAATATACATTCAATGTAAATATTTAAAAATTTAAAATATAAATTAAGAATCTAAATATATCTAATACATTTATAAATCCTAATCCTAGTTTGAAAAGTTTGAGATTATCCTCACTGTTCACTACCAACCCCCAACTTTTGCAACTTGTATCATTGAAAATCTGCTCCCCTAAAGAATCAAACAAACAGGAAGAGAAATTGTAATCAAACTTTTGCAATCAAACAAACACAAACACAAGCAGTCAGCAGAGCTGGTAATTCTAATCAAGACACAATTATATAACTCAAATATAATAATCAAATAAAAAATTGTAATCACATAACAATTGAATCAAATATCAATTTCACTATTCATCATATATATATAATTAAATTAATTATTGTCTTTATTAAATTTATTTAGTAGGAAGAAAATCATGATAGACTTGAAAAACCCTGTCAATAATAGTATCAAAACTTCCCAATTTTACTTGGGAAGAAAAATGAATCATTGGCATCCACGTATGCCAATGATTTTAGTTACCTTCGGAACTTGAAAGTGCCCCCTACAAGCATGTAAGATTCTCTTGCAAACAGGACGCGTGATGCCCTCACTTGCAACAATTCCACCATCCATAAAAAAATTTAAACTAATAACATAAGCAAGAATGAAATTATGCATTCCGTTAATAGATGTCAACCCCGGCGAAGATATTAGTACCATAATAGTTTTTAGTTACCTTCGGAACTAGAAAATGTTCATTTTTTCGAAAATAGTTATGTACTTTTAACATTCCGTCAAAAGAATATAAGTAAATAAAAACAAGAACAGGGCTACCAATAGTTTTTCACTATTTCACAACTCAATACCATATCCAATCCACTCGATCATAAATAGAAAAATTTGTTGGCATGTTCCTCAACATTAGAAGATCATAAATTTAAGAACTCGGTATCAAAAAGAATTCTAGAACTAAGAACGGGAAGGAGCCCCTGTTGTTCTAGCTCCCGTTCGCCTGAACTTGGGGACATATTTCCCCGGGAATGGAGGAGCAGCAGGCTTCGAACGTCGTTGGAAAAGTCTAGATCTAGACAACAATTCTTCCCTCCTAAGTCGCTTTTTCTTCACGTTCCCGCTCTCTTTGACGCTGCTTTTCAGCTATTTCAGCCAACTTTGCTAGGCGTTCAGCCTCCTCATTCTTTAGTCTATCGGCCTCTGAAGTTCGAAAACCCCATCATAAGTAAATACAAAAAAGAATACAGATTACTAGAATATGTGTAAAAGATGGCAATAAGCAGTTACTAACGAAGAATGAAAATTAATAGGTGAAATTGGAAACAAAATCATGACGATTTTGGAGGAAAGAGCTGTTGGATACGGGAATTTTCCTAGAAATTTTGAGAAAGTGGAATGGGGCAATTTTGTTTCTAATGGTTGGTATGAAAAAATTGAAAATAATTTTGGTAAACTTTTTTTCATATCATTCCATTTTACACCTCATATTTACAAATATAAATATCATAATTTTTATTTTCTCGTAGCATTAGTATAATTAATCTAATATTTTTGAAAATTTTTTGGATCTAACTAACACCTTTTCCTAACTTATGCAAAAAAAAAGAACCTCATCATATTCTCGAAATTTTTTTTTCTCGTAAAAAAAATATCTCTTCTAACAAACTACGTCTAAACTACTTAAAAGATCTGAAAAAAGAAAGTTTAGTCATTGAAATGTTTCTGCACAAACAGAACGTATAAATAAATAATTACCATCACGTTTACGAGCTTCTTCCTCCTCACATATTTTTTGTTGTCTCTCTTCTTCTGACATCAGATAATTCTTGAACAAACTTACACTTTTTGGCTGAATTACTTAGCTTAAAACAGACCAAACACTATATCTATTTATATTCAAAAGGAGAACAAATACAATAAATACGTCTCATATTTACAGAGAGTCTTTCCCTCTTCCTAGGTTATTATTTTCAAAGTATTTTTAATTCTGAGTGCTCCACTATCTCCATTAATCGTGCGCCACTATCTAGATTAATTACCAAAGCACTCAAGTAATTTATTTTTTATAATTTCGCACAAAGAACAAACCTAATAATAGGTAAATTTAATACTTGATAGTTCCACTAATTTAATGACGAATAACAATATTTGAAAATCCAAAAAAGTTCCTCTAGCCCATAATATCCGGACAATGACCATATTGTCACTTTTTAGGCAAAATTTTACCTGATTGTCACTCCTGAAAAAAATTTTGCCAAAATGCCACGCCTGAATCCCGCTGGTCTGACAAGCGAGAATGGACTAGACACGTGTCAGCGTCTGAATAGTCAACCATTCTCGCTGGGCTGCCCAGCTAGAATGACAGAATGCTGAAACGTGGCAAAAACACAGGCATTCTCTGGATGTCTGTACTTTTGCCACGTGTCAGCATTCTGTCATTCTAGCTGGGCAGCCCAGTGAGAATGATTGACCATTCAGACGTTGACACGTGTCCAGTCCATTCCCGCTTGTCAGACCAGCGGGATTCATGCGTGGCATTTTGGCAATTTTTTTTTCAGAAGTGACAATCAAGAAAATTTTTATTAAAGAAGTGGCAATATGTCCCCGTAATATCCCCCAAAAAAGTTTCCAATAAACAAAAAAGACAGAAAACACAAATTGCCTATGATGATGGCAAGACCCAAGACACACAGAAGAGAAGCCGAAGAGTTGACGATACCAACTTTATTACCCATCATTCGAATAAGCCTCTCCTCCTTAAGATCCCCCTCATGCCGCTGTTTGCTCAGTTCAACCTCTTGCTGCATCAAACCAGAGTCCGACCCAGTCAATCTAAGACAAAATCTGGTTAAAATGGAATGTTGTACGAGGTGAACATTCAGGTGCAACATGAAGTGAGAAATATGTAATAGTAAAATTGTTTCCAAGAGAAAAATGAAATGTGAAAGCCAACATCAAAATTATACGAAAACACATGCTACTCCAGCAGGCAAGGCAAGAGAATTCAACATACTTGTTGCTCACGCTCATGAAGAATCCTTTCTTCAACTAGGCGCTGTTGATATGCAGCTTAAATAAGGGGAGCAGTCTCTTATCTTTTTGCTCTTTCCAAATAATCCATGATTTTAGCTTATTTTTGCAGTTTCTTTTCCATCTCTTGTCTTTCCCGGAGTTTTTCAGTCAAAGTCAACTCCATCAAGGTCTGCTTGGTAATTTTCTACTACGGATGGGGGTTATTGTTAACATTTGCAAACCGAATTTAATTGAAGGCAGACTTCAACTTAGCCTCTCTGTTATTGGCTTTCGTTTCATTTTCAGAAGCTGTATTTCGCAAGGATTCGATGTTTCTAGCAAATAAATTTAGGGAGTTACTAATTTTATTGTTGCTTGAGATGGTTCTCTCATTTACATGAGATAAATATATAGGATCCACACTTTAAAATAAAAAAATAAATAAATGAAAAAAATTGGCACAAAATTTGATCAGTATATA